TCCCAATTTCGAGTTATTTAATTAATTGTCATCTCATTTGAACGCAAATGGACTATACATGCAAACACTCGAAACTTCAATAGACAGAGCTTAGTATATTTTAGAGTTACGTCCCTTGATGTGGTACATGATAACAAGGTTATGATATGAAAGTTTCCCTTTCGCCAGTCACAAGCACATGGCCATCAGGAAACAACACACACAGTGTGTTCTTCACTACAAAGGCTTCTCCGTGGTGCTGTTGGCCCTGGTGGATGCGGACTATAAATTCATCTGGATAGACGCTGGTGGAGAAGGTTATCAATCCGACACACAGTTGTTTGGTGCTTCAGAACTGAAAGAGTGCATTGATGACAACACCATAAACTTCCCTGACAGTGATCCAACGATGATGACAACGCCATAAACTTCCCTGACAGTGATCCAACGATGACGACAACGCCATAAACTTCCCTGACAGTGATCCAACGATGATGACAACACCATAAACTTCCCTGACAGTGATCCAACGATGATGACAACGCCATAAACTTCCCTGACAGTGATCCAACGATGATGACACCACCATAAACTTCCCTGACAGTGATCCAACGATGATGACAACACCATAAACTTCCCTGACAGTGATCCAACGATGATGACAACACCATAAACTTCCCTGACAGCGATCCAACGATGATGACAACACCATAAACTTCCCTGACAGTGATCCAACGATGATGACAACACCATAAACTTCCTGACAGCGATCCAACGATGATGACAACACCATAAACTTCCTGACGGTGATCCAACGATGATGACAACACCATAAACTTCCTGACGGTGATCCAACGATGATGACAACACCATAAACTTCCTGACAGTGATCCAACGATGATGACAACGCCATAAACTTTCCTGACGGTGTGATCCAACGATGATGACAACACCATAAACTTCCCTGACAGTGATCCAACGATGATGACAACACCATAAACTTCCCTGACAGTGATCCAACGATGATGACAACACCATAAACTTTCCTGACAGTGATCCAACGATGATGACAACACCATAAACTTCACTGACAGTGATCCAACGATGATGACAACACCATAAACTTCCCTGACAGTGATCCAACGATGATGACAACACCATAAACTTCCCTGACAGCGATCCAACGATGATGACAACACCATAAACTTCCCTGACAGTGATCCAACGATGATGACAACACCATAAACTTCCCTGACAGTGATCCAACGATGATGACAACACCATAAACTTCCCTGACAGTGATCCAACGATGATGACAACGCCATAAACTTCCCTGACAGTGATCCAACGATGATGACAACACCATAAACTTCACTGACAGTGATCCAACGATGATGACAACACCATAAACTTCCCTGACAGTGATCCAACGATTAAACTTCCCTGACAGTGATCCAACGATGACAGTGACACCATGCAACATCCCGGGGGATGATGCTTTTCCCCTGAGGACTTTCCTCGTGAAGCCCTATGACAGGAAGGGTCTGGACAATGACATGCTAGTGGCCAACTACAGATTATCCGGGGGCAGACGTGTGGTGGAGAATGGTTTCGGAATACAGATGGTGATGCTTCCTGGGCACCCCAGAACAAGGACCTGATGTGATGCGGCTACTGGTGGAGACGGGTCATCCTCCACAACTTATTGAGCATCAGGTTCCCAGCAATTGGAGATGCAGACTTGGGTCGGGAGGACGAGGACCACAACAAGATCCCTGGTGCCTGGAGGGCAGACCAACAGGTGGAGTTCCAGGCACCCAACAGAGACAGTCGACCGGGCATAGTGACAAGCAGGAGTGAATGTTAACTGTTGATACTTCATGTTAAAATGTTTTACTATTTATGTTAATATCGGTCATTTTCGTTGTTGTTGCTTGTTAGCGCTAATAAAATGTTCCGTTTATTAAAACAAAAGGCCCAAGAGGGCTCGTATCGCTCCTGTTTGTGCCACACCGACCGAACTGAGGCCACTGCAAGGGGTCTGGCTGCCTCTGCTGGTACAGTTGAGGACGTGATGGTGCTAGTGCTGATCGTCCTGCTTCCAGATCTACCTACTTCTCTATCCTTCTGTACGCCACGATAGATTGCCTGGGGCAAGTTCTGGACAGTATGCCCAAGGTACTCCGCGAGCTTTATCCTCTTTGAATGGGGATCCTCAGACACAGCAGGCGCTTGCGGGATCTGTAACAGCTTCTCCTGTTGGTCCTTGCAGGTGTGCAGCTCCTGGTCGCCATCATTCTGCCTCTGGCTCCCCTGGTGCTGGACACCGTCACACTCGAATTCCCGGGAGTGGTGGTGGACGGTGTGATACTGGGGCTCCTCTTCCTAGAACTCCTCACCCTGGCTGATGGTGGCGCCCCTCCAGAAGCTCTGGACTGTCCGGTGGGTGACATGTCCGATGTGGGGCATCATACAACCCGATTTGCCGGCAATCATAACTGATTCGTAGATAATTCTAACTTGCATCGTAACTGCTTCAGCGTGTATTTGTGGGATTCGTGACAGATTCGTAGCCGTTTCCTGATAAAGCCACGAATTCACGAATCCACGACTGCGTTAAAGATACCTACGAATCGATTAGGATTCGGTTACGATGTCTAAGAATGCACTACGAATTCATTGCGAATTAACTAGGATTATTTTTAATCGGGAGTTCGTGGCCAAAATTGTGGACAGTTCAAACCTTTGTCACGAATTCCCGATTCGTCAAGAATTGCAAGAACACACAACGACTATATCAGGACATAGTTAAGAACTACTCGAACTGATCACGATTCAACTACGAATCCTCAAATTGGTCAATTCATGGCTAATCGTTGGATTGGTGGTCTGTGTGTAATAGAGGCAAAAAAGAATAAGTGATGTTATGCTCATTGAAATCCTCAAAGGTTGGGAAAGGTAGACACGAAAGTTATGTCACCCTTGTGTCACTCAATCTTGAAGACATGTGCTGATCTAATTAATACTATCTCGCCTGTCGGTACCCATCAGGGATCAATATTTCAAACTATCATCACTGAAGGATCTTATTAACAGTATCAGTTCTTGTTTAATCATCGACTATTTAAAGATAATTGAATTAATTGACAAATTGTGATGTTTATATAGTTACAATATTTTATAAATCGGTAGGGTATGATTATCACCTGGTATTGTTCGTGGCAATGCCCTCGACGGGGGTTGAAGTACTATAAAATTATTGCCCTCCCGAGAGGGTATGTTAGTTCACGTTTTTAACGGTATTTTTTAAATCGGCCAGTTTTCAATCGAAGTACATTTGTTCTTTTAAGTGATGGCTAAATTCCAGTACAATCACCAGCGGCTGGGTGGTGGTGTAAATCCAGCTAGGGTCCATGCAGGTAGCAAATGTACTGCAAGTCCCCATGGTTCCTAGTATGGTGATCTGCCTTCAGTTGTTGGCGCTCACAAGCCCGTTTATATATTGTATCGTCCAAAATTGCGTTCTATTTTTAAATATATAACCTGGCTAGTTTTAACTCTACCTGTGTCTAGATGTTTCTCTGTCCATTGCGAATAGATATAGACTAGAGAGACTCCCAGTACAGCTACACACATATCGTGATCGACAGCCGCTACACGGTAGGTAGCCCACACACAGGGGGTGTGTCTGGCAACATGAATAGACATTGTCGGTGTTTTCAATAGCATGACTAGCAAGTAAATATTTTCCTCACAATATGATATTAAATAACCCTTGATTCAGCAACACACGGTTTCTAAAACGTAGTGATCTGAATGTGGTTTGTACCTGATCTGTATGTGATCTGTGTGCGATCTGTATGTGATCTGTATGAGATGCCATCGACGGGGCATATCGGTATTTGATCTGTATGTGAATTATATGTGATCTAATATGATCTTTATGTGATCTGTATGTAATATGTATGTGATGTGTAAGTGATATGTATGTGATTTTAATATGATCTGTATGTGATCTATATGTAATTTGTATGTGATCAGTTCGCTTTAAAGGTGTTCGCTATGGACGTGTTCGTTACAAACATGTTCGCTATAAAGGTGTTCGCTATAGACGTGTTCGTTACAAACATGTTCGCTATAGACGTGTTCGCTACAAACGTGTTCCTTACAAACGTGGGTGGGTGTGTACTGAGGGACCTTATATTCGGAGGTTGCTATCATTATAGGATATTCATATAGTGCACATATCCACGCAACCAGTGCATGCTCAAGGCGCTGGCATTTTTTTCCCTCGAGCATTGGATGTCAACCTCAACGGCACATCGTATTATCTCAACTCCCTGGGGAGTATAGAACTCTTGCTGCCACTAGGCGCACCGATGCATCCTAACGAGGTACCCATTCACAGCTGGGTGGACTGCGACACATAGTCACAGTACTTGGTCCAGCTGCACTGCACGTTGCTGTACATGTACCCGGACCTAGGTGTTTGCAGGTATTCATGTGGCCACCATCTGGTCATATACCAACGGATTCGTGGGTTCTGTTGACAGACCCACAGTTGTAGGCCAACAGTTGACAGACCCACAGTTGTAGGCCTACACTTGACAGACCCACATCTGTAGGCTAACAGGTGTGAAGACTTCGACGTGACAAGAAAAAAGCATTGTAATAAATATAAGAAGTTGCAGCTGGCAAAATGTGAAATGACATGTCATGACATTAGACTCAACCCACGAATGTCAACTGCGGTTTTGTTCCATACACGGAACCCTATAGAAGCGGGTTCGAATTGGTCTTCAGTAACACAATCCAAACGTGATCGGATGGTCAGCTTCGCTGACTTCGTTGACACATATCATCGTATCACAGTTGCGAGAATCGATGCTCATGATTTTGATCACTCGATTATCTGGTCCAGATAGACTACCCACATGTAACTGGGATATTGCTGAGTGCTGTGTTAAACAAAGAGTCACTCAGTCGATCCAAGGCTACAAAAATAAATGAACATTGTAGCATAAAATAGTATCTTTACTTTATTTCTGGTTATCTTTACAACATACATAAATCTGATGGCAGAGTACATTGTAGTGTATTTGTTACAGTCAGATTGTGAAATCAGTCATTTCGTGAAATGAATAAGAATTTCAGTCATTTCGAGAAATAACTAAGAGGGTCAGCCATTCAAAAACTATCCCTACTGCCCGTTCTTTTTCTTCCTGGGTTAACCTTGGCATTCTCTCTGTGTGACTTTATGTGCAGTGATATTGAGGTGTTGGACAGGCCGTGCATACTGATTTTTCATACGATCTTTCCCATGTATCCGACTGAGACATGTGTTTCGTGTTTCTGAGAGTCGGGGCCACAAAATGAGTTCTGGCGATTTGTTTCGTCCGTCACGACCATTGGCAATCGTTATCAAGCACATTTACATCAAATTTGATGGAAATGTCCAAACCTATTTATATAGCCAATAGCGAAATGACTGATTCCCTTAGTCATTTCACGAAATGATTGAATTTTTTAGTCATTTCACAATCTGACTGTAACATATTATAATAATACAGAACACATATGGATGTACACAAAAATATGCCTGATAATATTTTGCACAAATGTTACAGTGACACACATTCATGTACATATGGTGAACTGGTTTACCTCTCACACACAAACACACTGGATCAGGTGCTTCATACTTTGAAATACTGAGCGGACGTCAGAGGGATGTTGTCATGGGGCATGGTGTCCGTCATGGTCATGTTCTGAAATAGGAAAAAAGCTGATATCAAAACACTTTTAAACTACCTCAGTCAACAATCTCTGTCTTAACACACCTCAGTAACAGTTACCATCGGATAATATATGTTGCATGCTTCTCTCGAGGGTAATACAGTCTTATGTATGTCCTATTGTAGCAGTGTCACATTAGCTGGTAGGCGAAGGATAACACTGCTACAAAATGGCGTACATCAGACTGTTTACAATGTATTTATCTTACTGCCATGTTAAATGTACAAAATATCATCATATTTTCTTCTGAAGATTGATAAGCTCGCTACAGGCGATAAGCTCGCTACCGACTATACGACATGTAGACAAAATGGAGTCTGTCTCTCGAATGGATTTTTAAAACCAACGAAACATATTCTAAAAGCTTAAAACTAATATAGAAATGGTTGCTTATGGTTAAGTTGAGTGTGCAAACGATTCAACGTATAAAATAGTTTAAACAAAGCAGTAAAAGTCGGTAAAATATATTTGTACATCGTGAACTCAGAAACAGCTTCACGAACAGTTTACGAAATCCGTGCACTGCATACGTCTTATAATTACGTCATACGATTGTTTTGGATACAGCTTCTAGGTGGAGAGTTTGGCGGTTACCATGACAGCGGGTAATGTGTTGACCAGTCGTGACACGGAAACTTGATAAAGCGTCATTGACCAATGAAATTAAAGTGCTTTGTATGAGGGTAAGATAATGTTTGTAATAACCGAATCTGGATTCTTGGCTCGTACTGTTATAAAACATCTGATTTTAGCATTTTGAAAATTGAACCGATTCAGTAACAAAAGATTTTATTTCGTTCAAACAGCAGGCGTCCTTTGTCGTTATATTATTGGAACATTACTGAAGCGGCGTTAAGCCCTTACTCGCTCTATCAGTTCTGAGCACATTCAAAGATCGCACAGTAACTGAGTGAATATGGTTTTACGCCGCTTCTAACAATATTTCAGCAATATCATACACAATATTAACGTGGAAATGTAACATGTCGGACAGAGTCTAATCGAATATTGTTTTATGCCTCCGTCAGCAATCGCCCAAGTATATTACGGCGGGTTTACACCAGTGACTGGCTTGGTTCCTGCGCATTCCTTAGAAAAAAAACATTAACCGTTATATCGATACTTTAATAAGTATTTGGTAAGTCTCATCAACTTCGACGCAACAGTGTTTTGTACGTGGTTCTCCATATCTTACCGCTTAACGACACAACAGTGTATTGTACGTAATTCTCGCTATCTTACCGCTTCACGACACATCTTGGGGATGTGGAAGATGGAGGGGTCTCTGATTCCCTTGTTGATGTCGGAGTAGGAGAAGGTGTACACCTGGGGGTCTGAAACATAGATAATAGCACCCTTGTCTGTAGCAGGACAACAAGGACATGTATGCAGCCAGCATACGAACAGTCAGTAAACACACGTCTGACAGGGCATTCAGTTTGTTACAATGTTGCACCATGCATTGACATACATACCTAGTTTATGCCGATTTCCATAAGCTGAAGATCCACAGTTACTAATGTGCCCTCGACTGAAGACCCAGGGTTACTTACTTCCTATGAATGTCCCCTCCATAGGAGACCCAGGGTCACTTACTTCCTGTGAATGTCCCCTTGACTGGAGACCCAGGGTTACTTACTTACTATGAATGTCCCTTCCACAGGAGACCCAGGGTTACTTACTTCCTGTGAATGTCCCCTCGACTGGAGACCCAGGGTTACTTACTTCCTATGAATGTCCCCTCCATAGGAGACCCAGGGTCACTTACTTCCTGTGAATGTCCCCTTGACTGGAGACCCAGGGTTACTTACTTACTATGAATGTCCCTTCCACAGGAGACCCAGGGTTACTTACTTCCTGTGAATGTCCCCTCGACTGGAGACCCAGGGTTACTTACTTCCTATGAATGTCCCCTCCATAGGAGACCCAGTGTTACTTACTTCCTGTGAATGTCCCCTCGACTGGAGACCCAGGGTTACTTACTTCCTATGAATGTCCCTTCCACAGGAGACCCAGGGTTACTTACTTCCTATGAATGTTCCCTCGACTGGAGACCCAGTGTTACTTACTTCCTATGAATGTATTCTCGACTGGAGACCCAGGGTTACTTACTTCCTATGAATGTCCCCTCCACAGGAGACCCAGGGTTACTTACTTCCTCTGAATGTCCCCTCGACTGGAGACCCAGGGTTACTTACTTCCTATGAATGTCCCCTCCACAGGAGACCCAGGGTTATTTACTTCCTATTAATGTCCCCTCGACTGGAGACCCAGGGTTACTTACTTCCTATTAATGTCCCCTCGACTGGAGACCCAGGGTTACTTACTTCCTGTGAATGTCCCCTCGACTGGAGACCCAGGGTTATTTACTTCCTATTAATGTCCCCTCGGCTGGAGACCCAGGGCTACTTACTTCCTGTGAATGTCCCCTCGACTGGAGACCCAGGGTTACTTACTTCCTGTGAATGTCCCCTCGACTGGAGACCCAGGGTTATTTACTTCCTATTAATGTCCCCTCGGCTGGAGACCCAGGGCTACTTACTTCCTGTGAATGTCCCCTCGACTGGAGACCCAGGGTTATTTACTTCCTATTAATGTCCCCTCGGCTGGAGACCCAGGGCTACTTACTTCCTGTGAATGTCCCCTCGACTGGAGACCCAGGGTTACTTACTTCCCATTAATGTCCCCTCGACTGGAGACCCAGGGTTACTAAATTCCTGTGAATGTCCCCTCGACTGGAGACCCAGGGCAACTTACTTCCTATGAATGTTCCCTCGACTGGAGACCCAGGGCAACTTACTTCCTATGAATGTATTCTCGACTGGAGACCCAGGGTTACTTACTTCCTGTGAATGTCATCTCGACTGGAGACCCAGGGCAACTCACTTCCTGTGAATGTTACCTCGACTGGAGACCCAGGGCAACTCACTTCCTGTGAATGTTACCTCGACTGGAGACCCAGGGCTACTTACTTCCTATGAATGTTCCATAGAAGGACTCGGACACAGGGGAGCATGAGTCCTGTGTCCAGACGGCGCACATGGTCCCACGGGTGTCCACCGTCTGCTGCTTGAAGGTGTACACGTATTCCAGGGCAGGGTAGGCGGTGTTGCCGAACCCTAGCCACATGAACGTCCCGTCCTGCCCCTCTGTCGACACACATACACACAGAGAGTGAGTGAGTGAATTAGTTTTACGTCGCATTTAGCAATATTCCAGAAATATCACGGTAGTTGACACCTGGAATGTGTTTCACACATTGTAAAAAAACACAGAGAACACAAATGTCATAATGTGTTAAGATTGGGGGTGGTATATAGCGATATTGATAAGCAATGTGTTCACACTTAAAAAATACGAGTATGCAGTGAAAAGGTGTGTGAATTTTATAAAATATGTGAAAATACTGGATTGAGGTAGATCACGAGACACGATAAATGATCAGCACTAAAAATCTTGCATATGACACAGAATCATGACGTATAGGTATGGTGGTGGCTCATGACACTTAGACGTGAAACAGAGTCGTCACAGACAGACATACCGCTTGGTCATGACACTTGCACGTGGCAAAGAATCCCGTGTGAAAGTGGTGTGGGGGTTTGACACTGGCACGTGACGAAGTAGCAACAAAGCAGCATTATGAGGTACTCGTGAGACACTGTCATAACACTGTATTGACACACGACTCGAAACTCAGGGTATGAACTGTTGCTTATTATTCAGGTTCATGAGACAGTGTCATCACGCTGACCCAAGGGTACAAAGTAGGACTGGCTGAATTAATCGATAATCAGCGATGTGAAAATGTATTAAAGATTATCGATATACAAACTGTGTTAACTTTAATACCGTACATGAACGGTTGTGACGGAAACAATATTTAATTTTCTACCTCAGGATACAAATTTAGGACGTCGTTCATGTTCTGCTTCTACATTATAAACCTATGGCCAATGTTGTCTATTGTTCTTGCAGTTGCTTCGCATTATGGAATAACCTCGGTAGAGGTTTTACGATTGCAGGAGGTTTTACAATGACCATTGTAAAACCTCATACGAGGTACGAAGTTTTACAATGGTCGTTGTAAAACCTCATAACCTGATATGAGGTTTTGAAATGACCATTATTTATGACTGATACAACTATGTCTGATTGTAAAATATCTCATTATTTTAGTGGCGATAACTGGTTTCGAACCCGCAACCCATCGCTCTCTAGCTTGGCGGTTTTATCCACTACACTACGAATGATCGCTGTGAGGAACGAGATTGTTTGTCTGTATGAACCATGTGTTTCTCACACGACAGGTACTGCGGGCAGCGCACGTGCAGGACACGGGTAGCGCGTGCAGAGCACGAGCATTGCGCGTGCGGGGCAAGATGTTGGCTGCCAGTCGCATCCCAGTTGACACCGGCTGTTCGATCATTTGCGGGCTGTTTCATCAATGCTGTTCCACTCAGTACATGCACAAATTGAAAATAATACATATGTAATTTTTGTTGTTTTAGACGCGGGTTTATACGTTTGATAAAAGACTCCTCCTCGGTTTGGGTTGAGAATGTAAAACCGCAGTGTCAGGAAAACCCTCGGGCGCTAACGCGCACTCGGGATTTCCTTCCCCTGAGGTTTTACATTCTCAACCCAAACCTCGGAGTAGTCTTTTTTCCTACACTTCAAGACGCTGTTTTGTTAACGGTTCATGCAAAAAAAATTACCAGTGATGTGAAATATAGTATTTTCTTACATACAGTTTTTGCTCCGATATTTATCGATAATGATCGATATTTAGTTAAGGATTATCAATCGATATTATCTAAGTCTATAGCCAGCCCTAGTACAAACGCATGGCAAAGACGTAGCAGGGAATGACACACTGGAAACGTACTCGGTGAACAGAGTTCCATGAACGGTTCTCGAAGAGGTTTGACCTTGCAGCCTCCATCTTCAAGGACGTAGAGAGTTTTCTGAAACACAATGCCATTTGTTTGACAAGGATATCGTGCATCAACCATACAGTGCCAGCTCTACAACAGCTCCAATCTCTGAATACACAATGATTTTGTGTGCTGGCGATTAGTTGCCTGGCTCTCCGAGTGTGGGTTCGAATCCCAGGTGGGGCTCAACCCAACATAAGTCCTGTATCACACTAAGGTGACGCTCCTGTTATTATTGCTGTTGCTGACCCACCCTATAGCAGTGCTACTTACATGTGTGGAGTCTTGCATCACACTGAGCTGAGGCTCCTGGTATTATTGCTGTTGCAGACCGACCTTATAGCAGTTTTACTGACATGTCTGAAGTCCTGTATCACACTAAGCTGACACTCCTGGTATTATTGCTGTTGGAGACAGACCTTATAGCAGTGCTACTTTAATGTCTGAAGTCTTGCATCACACTAAGGTGATACTCCTGGTATTATTGCTGTTGCTGGCCGACTCTAAACGAGTGCTACTTACATGTCTGAAGTCCTGTATCAAATTAAGCCGATACTCCTGGTATTATTGCTGTTGCTGACCGACCCTATAGTAGTGCTACTTACATGTCTGAAGTCCTCTATCACACTAAGCTGACACTCCTGTATTATTGCTGTTGCTGACCCACCCTATAGTAGTGCTACTTACATGTCTGAAGTCCTGTATCACACTAAGCTCACACTTCTGAATTATTGCTGTTGCTGACCCACCCTATAGTAGTGCTACTTACATGTCTGAAGTCCTGTTTCACAGTAAGGTGACACTCCTGTATTATTGCTGTTGCTGACCCACCCTATAGCAGTGCTACTTACATGTCTGAAGTCCTCTATCACACTAAGCTGACACTCCTGTATTATTGCTGTTGCTGACCCACCCTATAGCAGTGCTACTTACATGTCTGAAGTCCTGTATCACACTAAGCTGATACTTCTGGTATTATTGCTGTTGCTGACCGACCTTGTAGTAGTGTTACTTACATGTCTGAAGTCCTGTGTCACACTAAGCTGACACTCCTGTATTATTGCTGTCGCTGACCCACCCTATAGCAGTGCTTCTTACATGTCTGAAGTCCTGTATCACACTAAGGTGACACTACTGGTATTATTGCTGTTGCTGAACGACTCTATAGCAGTGCTACATACTTGTCTGAAGTCCTGTATCACATTAAGCTGATACTCCTGTATTATTGCTGTTGCTGACCCACCCTATAGCAGTGCTACTTACATGTCTGAAGTCCTGTATCAAACTAAGCTGACACTCCTGTATTATTGCTGTTGCTGACCCACCCTATAGCAGTGCTACTTACATGTCTGAAGTCCTGTATCACATTAAGCTGACACTCCTGTATTATTGCTGTTGCCGACCCACCCTATAGCAGTGCTACTTACATGTCTGAAGTCCTGTATCACACTAAGCTGACACTCCTGGTATTATTGCTGTTGCTGACCAACCCTACAGCAGTGCTACTTACATGTCTGAAGTCCTGCATCACACTAAGGTGACACTCCTGGTATTGTTGCTGTTGCAGACCGACTTTACAGCAGTTTTACTGACATGTGTGAAGTCGTGCATCACACTAAGCTGACACTCCTGTATTATTGCTGTTGCTGACCCACCCTATAGCAGTGCTACTTACATGTCTGAAGTCCTGTATCACACTAAGCTGACACTCCTGGTATTATTGCTTTTGGTAACCCACCCTATAGCAGTGCTACATACATGTCTGAAGTCCTGTATCACACTAAGCTGACACTCCTGGTATTATTGCTGTTGCTGACCCACCCTATAGCAGTGCTACTTACATGTCTGAAGTCCTGTATCACACTAAGCTGACACTCCTGGTATTATTGCTGTTGCTGACCTTCCCTATAGCAGTGCTACTTACATGTCTGAAGTCCTGTATCACACTAAGCTGACTCTCCTTGTATTATTGCTGTTGCTGACCGACCCTTTAGCAGTGCTACTTACATGTCTGAAGTCCTGTATCACACTAATGTGACTCTCCTGGTATTATTGCACGGGCTGACCGACACTATGGCAGTGCTACTTACATGTCTGAAGTCCTGTATCACACTAAGCTGACTCTCCTGGTATTATTGCACGGGCTGACCGACCCTATAGCAGTGCTACTTACATGTCTGAAGTCCTGTATCACACTAAGTTGACTCTCCTGGTGTTATTGCACGGGCTGACCGACCCTATAGCAGTGCTACTTACATGTCTGAAGTCCTGTATCACACTAAGCTGACACTCCTGGTATTATTGCTGTTGCTGATCCACCCTATAGCAGTGCTACTTACATGTCTGAAGTCCTGTATCACACTAAGGTGACGCTCCTGGTATTATTGCTGTTGCTGACCCACCCTATAGCAGTGCTACTTACATGTCTGAAGTCCTGTATCACACTAAGCTGACACTCCTGGTATTATTGCTGTTGCTGACCCTCCATATAGCAGTGCTACTTATCTGTCTGAAGTCCTGTATCACACTAAGCTGACACTCCTGTATTATTGCTGTTGCTGACCCGACCTATAGCAGTGCTACATACATGTCTGAAGTCCTGTAGCACACTAAGCTGACTCTCCTGGTATTATTGCTTTTGCTGACCCATCCTATAGCAGTGCTACTTACATGTCTGAAGTCCTGTATCACACTAAGCTGACACTCCTGGTATTATTGCTTTTGCTGACCGACCTATAGCAGTGCTACATACATGTCTGAAGTCCTGTATCACACTAAGCTGACACTCCTGTTATTATTGCTGTTGCTGACCCACCCTATAGCAGTGCTACTTACATGTCTGAAGTCCTGTATCACATTAAGCTGACACTCCTGGTATTATTGCTGTTGCTGACCCACCCTATAGCAGTGCTACTTACATGTCTGAAGTCCTGTATCACACTAAGCTGACACTCCTGGTATTATTGCTGTTGCTGACCCACCCCTATAGCAGTGCTACTTACATGTCTGAAGTCCTGTATCACACTAAGGTGACACTCCTGGTATTATTGCTGTTGCAGACCTGACCCTATAGCAGAGCAGTTTTACTGCTACTACATGTCTGAAGTCCTGTATCACACTAAGCTGACACTCCTGTATTATTGCTGTTGCTGACCCACCCTATAGCAGTGCTTACATGTCTGAAGTCCTGTATCACACTAAGCTGACACTCCTGGTATTATTGCTGTTGCTGACCCACCCTATAGCAGTGCTACTTACATGTCTGAAGTCCTGTATCACACTAAGCTGACGCTCCTGGTATTATTGCTGTTGCTGACCCACCCTATAGTGCAAGTGCTACTTACATGTCTGAAGTCCTGTATCACACTAAGCTGACTCTCCTGTATTATTGCTGTTGCTGACCCACCCATATAGCAGTGCTACTTACATGTCTGAAGTCCTGTATCACACTAACTGTCTGTACACTCCTGGTATTATTGCTGTTGCTGACCGACCCTATAGCAGTGCTACTTACATGTCTGAAGTCCTGTATCACACTAAGCTGACTTTTGCTGACTCCTGGTATTATTGCTGAAGTGCTGACCGACCCTATTTAGTGCTACTTACATGTCTGAAGTCCTGTATCACACTAAGCTGACACTCCTGGTATTATTGCTGTTGCTGACCGACCCTATAGCAGTGCTACTTACATGTCTGAAGTCCTGTATCACACTAAGGTGACACTCCTGGTATTATTGCTGTTGCTGACTGACCCTATAGCAGTGCTACTTACATGTCTGAAGTCCTGTATCACACTAAGCTGACTCTCCTGGTATTATTGCTGTTGCTGCTGACCCACCCTATAGCAGTGCTAAGCTTACATGTCTGGAAGTCCTGTATCACACTAAGCTGACACTATCTGAAGTCCTGTATCACATTATTGCTGTTGCTGACTCCACCCTATAGCAGTGCTACTTACATGTCTGAAGTCCTGTATCACACCTAAGCTGACACGCTCCTGGTATTATTGCTGTTTGCTGACCCACCCTATAGCAGTGCTACTTACATGTCTGAAGTCCTGTATCACACTAAGGTGACACTCCTGGTATTATTGCTTTTGCTGACCTGACCCTATAGCAGTGCTACTTACATGTCTGAAGTCCTGTATCACACTAAGCTGACACTCCTGGTATTATTGCTGTTGCTGACCCACCCTATAGCAGTGCTACTTACATGTCTGAAGTCCTGTATCACACTAAGCTGACACTCCTGGTATTATTGCTGTTGCTGACCCACCCTATAGCAGTGCTACTTTACATGTCTGAAGTCCTGTATCACACTAAGCTTACATGCTTTCTGACCGACCGGGCCTGAAGTCCTGTATCACACACTAAGCTGACACTCCTGTATTATTGCTGTTGCTGACCCACCCTATAGCAGTGCTGCTTACATGTCTGAAGTCCTGTATCACACTAAGCTGACACTCCTGGTATTATTGCTGTTGCTGACCCACCCTATAGCAGTGCTGGTATTATTACTTATAGTATGTCTGAAGTCCTGTATCACACTAAGCTGACACTCCCTGTATTATTGCTGTTGCTGACACCACCCCTATAGCAGTGCTACTTACATGTCTGAAGTCCTGTATCACACTAAGCTGACACTCCTGGTATTATTGCACGGGCTGACCCACCCTATTGCAGTGCTACCCACATGTCTGAAGTCCTGTATCACACTAAGCTGACACTCCTGGTATTATTGCTGTTGCTGACCCACCCTATAGCAGTGCTACTTACATGTCTGAAGTCCTGTATCACACTAAGGTGACACTCCTGGTATTATATGCGAAGTGCTACTTTGCTGACCGACCCTATAGCTATAGTGCTACTTACATGTCTGAAGTCCTGTATCACACTAAGCTGACACTCCTGGTATTATTGCTTTTGCTGACCCACCCTATAGCAGTGCTACTTTACATGTCTGAAGTCCTGTATCAGCAGTGCTACATACATGTTCTGAAGTCCATATAAGCTGACACTCCTGGTATTATT